GTTGGATGAAAGATGGATGGACAGACAGACACATATAGACGAATACATAGAAGACATATGGATTGATGAATGATAGATGGACAGACAGACAGACAGACAGACAGACAGACAGACAGACAGACAGACAGATAGATAGATAGATAGATAGATAGATAGATAGATAGATAGATAGATAGATAGATAGATAGATAGATAGATAGATAGATAGATAGATAGATAGATAGATAGATAGATGAACAGACAGACAGACAGACAGACAGACAGACAGACAGACAGACAGACAGACAGACAGATAGATAGATAGATAGATAGATAGATAGATAGATAGATAGATAGATAGATAGATAGATAGATAGATAGATAGATAGATAGATAGATAGATAAATGGATACATAGAAGACATAAAGATGGATGGTTGGATGAAAGATGGATGGACAGACAGACACATATAGACGAATACATAGAAGACATATGGATTGATGAATGATAGATGGACAGACAGACAGACAGACAGACAGACAGACATATAGATAGATAGATAGATAGATAGATAGATAGATAGATAGATAGATAGATAGATAGATAGATAGATAGATAGATGAACAGACAGACAGACAGACAGACAGAGAGACAGACAGACAGACAGACAGATAGATAGATAGATAGATAGATAGATAGATAGATAGATAGATAGATAGATAGATAGATAGATAGATAGATAGATAGATAGATAGATAGATAGATAGATAGATAGATAGATAGATAGATAGATAGATAGATAGATAGATAGATAGATAGATAGTAGGGGTGTGCAAAGCAGCCGGTATTTGTATCTGTATTTGTATTTGTTCAGGGAGGAAAAGTATTTGTATTTGTATTTGTATTCGAGTGAAATTCAAAATAGGCATAAAAATCTTTAAAAATACTTTATAGTGTATGAATTCTTTAATTATATCCATTAATAATTATGTATATTGGTTGATGTTTTTCTATAAATCCAGCAATGAACATGTAACAAGAAAAGTCATTGAAAAGAAAATAGCAGTCATCCATTACCTCATGAACCATGGTTAAACCAACAACTAATAAAATACAATTGTGAACATTATGAACCCCAACACCACGGTGGAGGACGCTGAGTAGACAGAATAAGTTTAGGGATAATTTATAGTGAGGAGGTTATGAGCCCGACGCGAAGCCTGAAGGCTTTGTATTCGCTGCCTCGCTCTACATTACCCCGCTTATTATATGGCTATACCAAATAAATCAATAATTTGACTCAAAATATGGATATAAAAAGGAGTTTGTGGATTTAAAAAACGATTGTATCGCCTCCGCTAAAGAAGAAAAATAGTCCGTTCTGTCTCTACATTTAGAATCCATGGCAACGCTCTGTTTTTCATGGCAACGGTGTGTTATACTTATAAGCAGCGGCATGTTATAATAACAGACCGCATTCTACATTAGAATTCAACCAAGCCATATAAGAAACAAATAATTACCGTTACCGAGCTAACAGAGCTACGTAAACAGAGCGAACAGCAGAGCACCCGTCTGCAGACGTCAATAATGGAATATACTCCCGATCAAACTCCGCTTCCCGAAAGTTATAAACTGCCTCCGGAACCTAGTTAAGGTACAAACAACTATTCAACAAAAATAGTGATGCAGTTAAGTGATTTTTTCGCTCAGCCGAGCCCTCTCTGTTGCTGTGTGGAGCAGCCTGTGTCAGTCACCTCTTCCTGAACGTCACTCACTCAACTCGCGCACTGCGGAGGAACGCAGCTTTTTGATATAAAGTATTTCTTGTTCCCGAATACAAATATATTTTTAAGTATTTGTTCGGAATAAGTATTCGTAAAAAACACATTATTTGTGCCTTTCCGAATACCGTATTCGGATTCGGCTCCACCCCTAATAGATAGATAGATAGATAAATGGATACATAGAAGACATAAAGATGGATGGTTGGATGAATGATAGATGGACAGACAGACAGACAGACAGACAGACAGACAGACAGACAGATAGATAGATAGATAGATAGATAGATAGATAGATAGATAGATAGATAGATAGATAGATAGATAGATAGATAGATAGATGAACAGACAGACAGACAGACAGACAGACAGACAGACAGACAGACAGACAGATAGATAGATAGATAGATAGATAGATAGATAGATAGATAGATAGATAGATGAACAGACAGACAGACAGACAGACAGACAGACAGACAGACAGACAGACAGATAGATAGATAGATAGATAGATAGATAGATAGATAGATAGATAGATAGATAGATAGATAGATAGATAGATAGATAGATAGATAGATAGATAGATAGATAGATAGATAGATAGATAGATAGATAGATCGATCTAACCTCTTAGGTGGGACCCCTTCTTCCACAATCCTGTTCTCTGAGCGGAGTCGTCTGTTCTGTTTGGGGTTATACGGGCTCTCTGGGCCCAATGTTTCAGCTAGTCCAGTTTGAACCACTGCCTCCAGTTCCCGGACTATGCAGAAGGGCTTAGCAGGACCTGGAGGATCCGCCTCTGGGCAGAACTCAAAGTACATGGTAGCTGGAAAGTGTCCGTGATGGTGGATGTTGTAATGCACTTCAACAACATAATTCTCACCTAGCAGGAAGACATTAATGTGACATTTCTGTGAGCATCTGACAACATATACATTTTCATTTGGTCTATCTATCTATCTATCTATCTATCTATCTATCTATCTATCTATCTATCTATCTATCTATCTATCTATCTATCTATCTATCTATCAGATTACGGTCTCAAAGTTTTTCTCACCTGGACAGAGGAGAAGAGGAGAAACACGGTTCACTCTCCTCTTATCCACGAGAGTAAAGCAGCGCATCTTGTGCAAGGCTGTGTAGTAAGTGAAGTAGACGCAGCTCTCGCCCCGGTTTACGATGTGAAACTTCACCACGGACAGCTTCCCCAGCTCCTTGATGATGAACATTACCTTCCCTTTAGTGGCTTTGGGGTCAGAGGTTATTTCAACACCTCCTTTGTCTTTGATGAGCTCAGCTCTAAAACAAAGACACATCTAACAATGAGTTTCAAAAGGAAAATGTGCCATTGAGAAGGGAAGTCTGTGATTATCTTCACATTATTAATTAATTATAGATTTAAAGTTGATTTTATTTTTCCTAGACAGACAAAAACAGGCAGATTTATATCTCTGAGGATCACCGTTTCACTCTGAGTTTGTTGAGGATTTCTGAAGCGAGCTTCTTCTTAGGGGTCAGGACAGGCTTAGTGATCGGCGGAGATGAGGAAGAGGATGCTGGGACAGAATCTGTGGCTGGCATGTTGGTGTTCTGCTGTGTGAAGGACTTCCACTGATCGCAGTAGTACACGCGCACCTGTCAGGAGGAGAAGGGACGAGAGATGAAACCGCAATGATTTATTTTCTTTGCTTAAAAATCTAATTGAAATGGCTTGATGCGGAAGTTAAGTAGTTTGTCACATTTATGAGTACACTAGAAGATCTCAAAGCTTACAGAAATGGACCCAAAGACACAAAATATGATCATTTAAGTTCTCACCTTTGGTTTTCCGTGAAACACAACTTTCCCATGGCTTGTAGAAGCTTTGTGGAAAAATTTTAAGGCATTGATCACCTTGGAAAATGAGGGTTCGTTTCTTCCATCCCTGAAAAACAAACAATCACATGCAACAGCCTGGAAATCAATTGCTTTAAAAAAAAAAACATGACAGTATTATCATACACAAACGAAAGGATTATATACAAAACACACTTATTACGAAGACAAAATAAAGCAAAACTTGACATGAATTAATAGCATAAAATAGATGAGTAAGACTCTGTTGACTATGAGTCACTGCACAAACCTTTTAAACTCAAAGTTGTAAATATCCCGAAGTTCGTTTATGTCTGTTTTCGAGATCCTCTGCCCCAGAAACTCGAGAAAATCAAGCCCTACTTCGTATGATGTTCTGAGCGAAGGCATTGTGCTGTTATTTATATGTCAGTAGTTTATGTTTTGGATGTTGTCTGGTCTAGGCGATTCCGGAATCGAAACTGAGTGTATGCAGTGACCAAGTAAGGGTACATCTACAAATTTCCGCACTAATGAGCATTGATATTTTCTTCACTATTTAAATAATACAATTGACTGCTAAAAAAGGAACCAGTCCATAAACATCGAAGAGAGACTATTTTTGTTTTTAGCTTATATGTCGTATTCACTGGTCAATATAGGTGTAAATAAAATTCAATAATGAGAAACACTCTTTTGCGACACTGCCTAAAACAGTGGCATTACATAACATCCATGATGGACGGAGCGACCCTTTTCATTGATAGTTAATAACCTGGATGGGGCTATTTAATTCAAAACTCAATCAAGATTGGTAGATCTTGATTTTAGAAACTGGGCTTGTTCATTTCCGTCAAATAAGGAAAACACGTTATTCCAGTAGGCATTAGTATATAACCAAATATGGCTTGATACTAATAGAAATATAGACATGATTAAATATGAACAATTAAAGCAAGGTATGATAGTACAGTACAAATTAAAACAATCAATTAATTAAACATTTGGTATATCATAGCCTAATTATAGAAACAAGACGTGTTTATTTATTTTATAAACTTGTATATTTGGGTATTTCAAGCTTTTTCAATATTTGGTAAAAGTACAGACATTAAAACAGGCTACAAAAAATGAAACAAAAGTAATCTTTTACAGGTTATATGCTTGGATAATACTGTAAATGGCTATTTCGCTTAAAACGTGAATGACAACTTTTTTTTTACTGAATCAAAGCATAAAATAAATTAAGTAAACTAATATTGTTTTGCCAAAACGTTTTTGCTTATCTATTTTTCTTTAAAGCTTATTTGACACACAGAGTGCAATAAACAAACTTCAATAGCTAAACATAACGTTGAGTAGGCAAATATTCATTTTTTAACTCTTTTGTCATGTTTGCGATTGTTTTCCCGTGGTGCACTTTGACAGGGCAGGTCCAATTGAGCCAAGATGGCGGACTTTGAGGAACAGCTTTCCGACGAGGAGAAGGTATAAGATAATCTATTCAGGGTCCCTGATTTATCTTCCCTTGACTGTTATTAGTATATGTACACCTTTTATACACTCGTGAACATGTCATATATGTTATTATGCACATTGTGTGTTTTAAAGTCTATAAAATCCGCGATGAAGAGTGTGCTAAGGAAGCTAGCAGGCTAACTGAAACTCGATCTAATCGAAGATCGCACTCTCAGAGACGCTAGACTGTGTTAGGTGACTGAGATTACAGATTAATTACATTTTTTACGTGTTGAAAGTGTATTCTATTACATAATGGTAGTGGTTTCACATCAAAATTGGAAGTATTGCTGAGTTTGCGGACTATTAGTAGAGGCTGATTGATTGCTGAGGTATCTAAAAAGGGGGTAAAATAACTCCGACAACATTAACAATGTATATATTGTATATAACAACACGTATATTTACAGTAATGCACTTTTTATTCTTTGTCATATAACTTAGCATTTAGTGACAGCCAAGTGTCGTATAACAAACTTATTTTAGATCACTGTTGCTGTACATGTATATTTGTTTCTAATCTTATCGCATGTATGCATGGCTTCATTTCATTTGCCGTTTTGGGTTTATGTGCTGACTGAGACCTGACCAAGGGGAAGTTCTTTCCTTGCACTGAAACAGGGGCGCAACCTCTGCTCTGGTCTTGTTTGTATTCTCAGCTGAGTGTTGGTGACCCAGCCCTCTTTCTGCATGCTCTTACATGCGCGCTCTTCCGGTCTCACGCTCTCTCCCTCTGCCACCGAACCGACGCGAGTCACGGGCTGTCTCGCCCCTCCACCTCTGCAAATGATAAGCAGTCCAGTCGTGTTGAGGCCAGTTTAAGTAGGAAAGAAGCATTTCAGAAATGCTTAGATGTGGAAAGCTTGTTGCAGCTGCAAACTGCTGAAGAGTAGCGTAGATGTGATTTTTAGATACCCCTGATATGTTGTCTAACATCCGTGAGAACTAAAGATTGCCTAACTTATCCTGTACTTGAGGGCACGGTTTTTTATGTAAACAAAAAAAGATGATTTTTTTTTTTTTATATAGAAATTATTAGTTATAAGTATAGGATTATCGTGTTGAACACCCTATTTTAGTATGCTTTGAAATCTTAAAGGGAATAGGGATAGTTCACCTCAAAATGAAAGTTCTGTCATTAATTTCTCACCTTCATGTGGTGAGAAATTCTGAATGCAAATGAAGATCCTTTTAATGAAATCTGAGAGATTTCTGTCCCTCCATTGACAGCTACACAACTACCACTTTGACGCTTCAAAAGGTTCATAAAGAGATTGTTAAACGTGGTTTAGTCCAAAATTTCTGAAAAGACTCGATAGCTTTATATGATAAACAGATTGAATTTAGCCTTTTATCAACATATAAACTTTCATCAACTCACACATCAGTTGTGGTAAAGCTCAAGCTTGTTCGCTTGACATGCGAGAACCAATGAGGTTCATTGTCGTGCATCAAGCGTATTTGGTTGAGCTTCTGTTTATGTTTGCTGATCATTGTTTGTATGTGAATAATAACCTAAATCTGTTTAAAGCGAATAAGTCTTTTCAGAAAATTGTCTAAACTGCTTTATTCAAATGGATCAGTTTTACGATCTCTTTATGAACTTTTTGAAGCGTCAAAGTGGTAGTTGCGTAGCTTTCAATGGAGGGAAAGAAAGCTCTCAGATTTCATTAAAAAGATCTTCATTTGTGTTCAAAAGAGGAACAAAAGTCTTACGGGTTTGGAATGACATGATGAATGCGGGTAATTATATTTATATTTAATGAAATTTTCCATTTTTTGGATGAACTATCCCTTTAAAATGTTAGTTTTTAAAGCAGTTGTATGGGAATTGGTTGCTTCTTCCAATTAAAAGTGTGAGGAAGATGGAGAATTCAACCACAAAAAAACTTTATTGTAGTTTACCAGTGGAAAACAGGCTGTTTTTTTTATATGTTATGAGTCAAGTCAAGTCAAGTCACATTTATTTATATAGCGCTTTTCACAATACAGATTGTATCAAAGCAGCTTCACAGTGGTAACATGTAAGTAGCACAACACAGATCAACAACATTGCTAAACACTAAATAACCCCAACTGAGCAAGCTCAAAGCAAGCCAAAAGCAAGGCGACAGTGGCAATGAACCAAACTCCATCAGATTGGATGGAGAAAAAACCTTGGGAGAACCCAGGCTCAGTCGGGGGCCAGTTCTCCTCTGGCTTACATACATATTGTTTAGTAATTTGAGTAAAATGAGTAATTTGTAGATTTCCATTAATGACAAGAATTCATATTCTGCTGAAATCTGAGGCTGATTTGGCACTTTGGTTGTACAATAGTACATAATAAAGTGCTAGCCTATATAAAAACTTAATTCATTCATTCTTTATATTGTGTGTGTGGGACAGTTAACTCAATTTACAATAATGTTAAGAGTTAGAGTTAACTCATCTACAATAATGCATTCATTTGCCTGTCAGTAATAAAGGTTATTAAACTTTTTTAAACATGTGATTGGACAATGAAACCATAAACACCAAATTATTATTTTGTTTTCTTTCAGAAAATGTGCACACATTTATTTCTACATACAGATCAAATGTAGGTTTTAGAAATGCTGTCATGCAAGAGAACAACCCAGGGGAACCCAATCAGAACAACCATCAGTAAAACGTCAAGATCAGGCATGATTTTGTTGCAATATTTTAGCTTATTTTAGGCATCCTAGATAACTTCTACACTTTCAATAGAATTGAAAGTTATTATATAATGTGTAAGTTGACATATTTTCTTCATGGTTTGCATGTGTTTAATCATTCTTACAATTTGGATTTGAACCATTGCATTTCCAAATAACATAACCAAATGTATTTTATCTCAGTTAATTGTGGACAAAACAAACTCAACTGGTGTTTTTTACAGTATTTGTTTGTTAGTCTGAAGACAGACTGTAGTGGTTTCCACTGGAATGAGTCCAGAATGGGTGTCGGAGCAGGACTAGGTGTCACTGCCTGGCCCATAATGCTTACATGTGCACTGCTAAGAAAAGCCTCATCCCTTCTAAGGAGTGACCCGATGTGGGCACAGTGTGTTACTAAGGCACCATTTGACCTGTTTTCAAAGGAAGTGAATAACTGATAAGTGTTTTTTGTGGCTCTTAGAGTCTATATATGCACAACAACACCCCAACTATTCTCGAAAATGACGTTTTTCTTTTTTTGAGTTTTTCTGGAAGCTTAGGGTTTGAATAAACACTCGACATGAATTGTGCATGTGTATGCGTTATACAACGCTTGCAACTTTCTTCATAAGTTTTACTTTTCTCTTTCCACAGGTCCGCATTGCTGCAAATTTTGTCATCCATGCTCCCCCTGGAGAGTTCAATGAAGTCTTCAATGGTAAAACGTTCATGAAAAATGTATAGAAATATCATAAGATGAAGAAGCACACCTGACACATTTTGTACCTGCTTTATTTTAAGATTTTTTTAATGTTTTTGAAAAAGTCTTCTTTTTTTTTTTTTGCTCAGCAAGGTTTTAAAACAATTTAAAATAATGTTTTATTTTAGTATTATTTTCAAACGTATTTTATTCCTGTGATGCAAAACTGAATTTTCAGCTTCATTACTCCAGTTTTCAGAAATCCTTTGAATACGCAGATATTCTACTCAAGAGTTATAATTTTTTTTATCATTATCAATGTTGAAAACATTTTATTTGTGGAATCCGTGATGAATTTCTTTTTAGGATTCTTTGATGAATAGAAAGTTCAAAAGGGCGATGTATTCAAGATTTTTTTTACATCATAAATGTACATTATACTGTTACTTTGATCAATTCAATGCATCCTTGCTGAATAAATAGTATTCATTTCTTTCCAAAAAAGAAAAAATGTTTTTGAACAGTTGTACATGATAAGAGGAATTACATTATAATGACCAACGTGACTTGCTGACATCATAATGTTCACGTGATATCACATGATGCCTTTTCTTTGGTTTCAGATGTACGGCTACTGCTCAATAATGACAATCTGCTCAGGGAAGGGGCGGCTCAGTGAGTAGCCTGTCTTTATTGTACTATTATGGTCCTATAAAATGGAGTTTAGATTCTGTCCAATTTGTGTACAGTTTTCAGTGTCTCTTTCAGTTCAGAATCCCCTTCACAATATTAATATATCTATGGAGAAGTGATATATTTAGCTCAGTGGCTTACCAGAAGTCCTTGAAAACAGTTTATGAATCAATATTTAGAGATGATTTATTATGTTGTAAATTTTAAATATGATGCTAAACATTGTTTTCTGTTTGTGACAGTGCTTTTGCCCAGTACAACATGGCCCAGTTCACACCTGCTAAACTTGATGGAGTGAAGATCAGGTGATTAACGTTCACTTAAAGTTCACCAGGAAGTGAAATGGACCCTATTTACTTTCTTTAAGGGATGGTTCAACCAAATATGGAAATTCTCTCATCATTTATTCATCCTCATGCCATCCTTGAAGTATAGGCCTTTTTTTTGTTGTTGTTATAATCCATGTAATGCCATTGAAAGGCTGACACTTGTTTGATGCTTGCAAAATTGCCTCTGGTTTACTTTGATATAATGGGATGTGTGATGTAAGTGTGTTATAAAGCCTGTGTGAGAAGTGGTGCCATCTCAAACTCTGTCATATACATCAGGGATGGGATTATGGTGAGTAAATGATGAGAGAATTTACATTTTTGTGTGAACTGTCCCTTTAACACACATTCCTGGTCATTTTGTGCATGATTCACCAATGCACATTATTCCAAAGAAAACAATGTTTGTCTTTGGAAACTGCTTGTCAAAAATGTGCATGAAATTACTTTACCTAGACGGTCACCTTAATTTTAACCAAAAGCCAAATATTTTTTAGGCATTGTTTTAGCAAACCCATATTTAAGACGTACTATCCGGTATATCGATGACTAAAACCAGGTCAAGATGTTGTCAATCAGGTCAAAACAATATGTTTTATTAATTTTTCTCAGTGAATATCCTGGTTTACTAAAATACATCACATTACTGGAAAGAAAATGGGTTGTGAATGGCATTTTCTGTTGATAAAGAAAACAAGTAATGGTATTTAAATTTGAATTAAAAAAATTAACTGTGATTCGCACTCAAAATTCAGCAAGTTTTTTTGTTTATTTTTTATTTTACACAAGCGGAAAGTTCACGCGTTTCGGCTCTCAGGCCACCCTCAGTGTGTTCGGTTTGATTTGTAATTGTAGTTTGCTGCTAGTCAAACCCCTTAAAGGGATAGTTCACCCAAAAAGGAAAATTCTATCATTAATTCCTCAGCTTCATGTAATTCTAAACCCGTAAGACTTTCGTTCATTGGAACAAGCGTTGGAGATTAATATTGTGTAGATAAAGTGGTAAAAAAAAATTGCACAAACAAAGCAGTTGCATCATAAAATTACTGGAGTCACATGGATTACTTTTATAATGTCTTTACTGCTCCTTTTCTGGGTCTTTAAAGTGGTAGTTGCATAGGCTGTCAATGAAGGGAGAGAAATCTCTCAGATTTAATTAAAAAGATCGTCATTTGTGTTCCAAAGATGAACGAAAAGTCTTACAGGTTTGGAATGACATGAGGGTGAGTAATTAATGACAGAATTTTCATTTTAGGGTGAACTATTCCTTTAATTCAGCAGGAAAAAGTGTATTTTAAACTGAATATTATATTTAATTGTACTTAAACTGCTTCCAAACTGCAGGTTTTGATCACAGAGCATGGAGATCTTGGCCACGGACGATTCTTTGACCCTCGTAAGAAACAGTCGTTCAAGTTTGACCATCTGAGGAAAGAGGCGAGTGACCTACAGTCTTATGAGGGTGAGGCAGCCCTCAGGCCGTGGAGGGATGCTTGTGACGAGGCTCTAAGGGCGTATGTCAAAGACCATTACCCCACTGGAGTCTGCACTGTGAGTCATTAGATTGGATTTTGGTTTACGTTAAAGGAAAAGCTTGTTTAATAAAGCAGTTTGTAAGACATGTTTGCTGACAGTTTTTGTATTGTTGTCTTTTAGGTTTATGGGAAAACCATTGATGGACAGCAAACCATCATTGCCTGCATCGAGGGTCATCAGTTTCAGCCCAAAAATTTCTGGTAATTTCTTTACTGTTTATCCTAATTATCCTATCCTCAAAGTTTTAGTTCACCCAAAAAATTACAATTAAGTCATTATTTACTCACCCTTGTGTTGTATTTCTTTTTCGGACCACAAAAGGAGAAAAACAAACACAAATCGTATCACAGAATGATTACATGAAATACGTGTTCTGGGGGTTTTAATGAAAATATTATTTAATGTTATCGCATTCACATCTGTTATAACGCTCATTCTGACTGTCACCTGACAACCAGAGTTCCAGTCCAGAGATGTTCAATGAAGAAAGAACACATACTTTTGAAAATTTTTTTATTATTACTAGTAGCATTTCATGTTTTTATTAACGTAAACATTAAAATCACAGACTAACGCCAGTTAATGTTGAAAATACCCTGCATTCCTTTTAAAACAATTACAGTTTGAATAGGGCTTATGAATGAATTTCCCAGGATGCACCAGGTCAAGTTGGTTGAGAAAGCCCATTGTACTAAACTGTGTAAAAAAGTAATAATAAAGAATGAATGGGCGTGTCTACACATTTGATTGGTTCTCTAAGGGCCTGTTCGAACAGAACATGTTTTTCGGTTCCACCACTATATTTACATTGTTTTTCTTTGTAAACAAGCGAGACGGACGTGTCTGACCGTTGTATCTCTTGTCTTCTGCAGCGTCTCACGCATGACACAGCGTTCTAAAAACACGGGGCTCAAGTTAAAAAAAGTTGCGTTTTAAAGTATGTGAATAGCCCATAATGAGTTAAAAAAAAACATAATGGTTGTTCACTCTTTGCTTTGAATACGGCTTAATGCAGAGACCGGCTTTGTTCCAATTACGATATATGATCTTTAGATGTGTGGAATGAGCTCTGCCCCTCCTAGATCGTGACTTCACTGTATCTAGATACAATTATGTGTCTTTTGAATGGAGAACAGGTGCGCTAGACAGCAAAGGTCATCTACACGTACTGCTCTTTCACACGTACAGACAGCACAACACGTGGCTTAACGGCACAAAAGAACATCTTTCTTTGAGATGTCACATCCATAACAGATTTCTAGGAACTAAATAGTGAATGGTCTTTAGTATAGTAATAATCCACTGCGAACAATTATACAGGATTACATGCAACATTGCGTTTTCCACAATCAAACTACTAGAAATGCCATTAGTCTTGTTCTTCTTGTCTGTTAGACTAAATACCATTGAACTTCCTCCATTTCTCTGCTCACAGGAACGGGCGCTGCCGATCGGAATGGAAGTTCTCCATTTCTCAGCCCACTGCTCAGGTGGTGGGAGTGCTGAAGATCCAGGTTCATTATTATGAGGATGGCAACGTGCAGCTGGTCAGCCACAAGGAAGTGCAAGAGTCTCTGATCATCAGCGTAAGTTATTCGAGTCCTCAGGACTTCCTGTTAATGAGTCAGTGCAACACAAACAACCTGCCTGATAAATGAACAGCCGGCCGCCCTAAGAATGACATTTCTAATGACAGTAGGTGTGGTGCTGTATTGATAGATGAAGTCTTTTTAAGTACGTCTGCTAACACTGTTTGTATTCTGAGCTTTGAGTTCTTGGATTTGGTGAAAATCTGTGTCACGATATCAGCATTGAGTTTGTTTGGGTTTTTCAATAAACCGTTATTTCCAATAACGTGCATTTGGAAACATAAAAGTCTGATTCGCTTTGTTTCATTGTTAGATTTTTTTATAAAAAATGTAACAATTCAATAATGTTTCCCAAATCGTTTCAGTTGTTAATTAAGTCGTAACAGTGTGAAAGGCACCGTGCTGTGCTTAAGCTAATTGCTATCAATTATTATAGCTTTTAATTGTCAATGTTGGAAGTTTGCCAGAATATAATATTCACTTAGACGGCTTGCTGCCTCAAACCTTCACTGCAAATCTCGATTTCCGAATGCTCGCAATAGCAACAGAAGAATGATAAGTTAGGAAAAGCAACTTGATGTTTTATTCCTTTTGCTTTTCATTTAGTTTGTACTAGCGCCACATGCTTCCTGGTCCGTGTAACGCTTCACAATTCAATTTTCGGACCATAAAATGCACATGAAAAATGGAAACCAGACATCAATTTTTCTTGTTTTTCCAGTTACATTATCAATGGATAGTTGCCTTTTTCTCCCTTTTTTCAATTTTACTTGTGCTAAATTGTGACTACAGAAACAAACATTTGAATAGTTTTAATTTTTTAATTTTCGTCTTGTAATTTGCGCCGTGGGCGGTACCATTAGCACGGGGGCGTGGCCGTGGACTAGCTTCACTATCGTTTCATAGATGCAACTGCTTTATTTACAGTTACACTGCATGCACATTGAGGAGAAGTTTAAACGAACACATGACGACATTTTTTACCCTTAGTGACAGTTTTTATTGATAATAACTGCACTGTTAACCCTTGCTGGAAAAAATGGCCACATTCTGACAATATCAATCCATTTTCCATTAAAATTGTTGCCAGTGTTTTACTCGTCCATATAGCGAATCTGAGGCGAATTTTTTTTTACAGTCTATGGGCGAAATATGCTTATTGTGGTTGTGTTGATCGAGCATTCATGGAGGCTTTACTCTGTATTTACTCTGGTCTGATGTCTGGTTTCCATTTTTCATTTGCATTTTATGGTCCGAAAATTGAATTGTGAACCGTTACACGGACCCTTCCTTCCTAGTTTGTTGAGAAGATAATAAGAGAGGAAAGAGATATGAAATTGCCCAGGAAATCCATTTTTGTTCTGAACAAAATCACCTAAATGAAATAAAACAGTAAATTAAAAATTAAATACCTTTAAAAAAAATCTTCCCATTAGGAATTATGAGTGAGCTAAGTTGGTGCTTTTGTTTTTGTGGTTTAGTGATCTTTTTTTTCCCTTTCTTATATTTCAACAGAATGAGGTACAGACTGCCAAGGAATTTGTCAGAATCATTGAAAATGCTGAGAATGAATATCAGGTTAGTTTTCCAGTTGATTTTAATTGGTTAGTCATTGTTTTACAGTACTGTCATTGAATGTTACTCTTGATAGAGGATGAAATGAATTTTTACAAAGCTCATGATCAAATCTATAATGTGCGAAGTGTGATTTTTGCCCTGGTTTTTCCTTTCCAGACGGCCATAAGTGAGAACTACCAGACCATGTCTGACACCACCTTCAAGGCCTTACGTCGGCAGCTTCCGGTCACCCGTACCAAGATCGACTGGAACAAGATCCTCAGCTACAAGATCGGCAAAGAGATGCAAAACGCTTAGACACACGGCATGCCTCCGCTCCTGCTCGCGTTACAAGCCAAGAGACAAGCTCAACGAGGGGCCCATATCTAAACCTGAACCTATACCTGAATCTAGGGAGGGCCAAGGCGAGAAGGTCCTTCGAGAAGTGTGCTAAACATGTGTCTGTCTTTTTTTTTTTTTTCATTTCTTTGTTTTCCAGAAGCCACGGTTTGACCTCAGCTGAAGAGACTGCCTCCTTTTCTGTATTGTAGGAGGGCTGCAAGCTTGTTTTAATGGGTTTAGCAAAAGTTTTTGCTGTTGAACAAATACCTCCCATGACACCAGTGTACAGCGTCACAAATACTCCCCTCCCCCCTACCAATATCACTTACGCCGCCCACTAGATCTGCGCTCCCAATGCTTGACACACACTGAACGTTTTGCACTTAGCCCATATGATCAAGCTTTTTTTAGAAAGTCGACACTCCAAAGTTTTGCTTCATGTTTAGTCATTAGGAATCATGTAACCATACGTAGCCCTGGCTGGTTGTGAAGAATATCTTTACAACAGTTACGCATCACATAATAATTGGTCTTTTTTTTAAAGCATTGTTGTAAGGTGCCATCATTTGAATGTGCTGTCAGTTGATCACAGAGAGGGTTGTGCCAAAGTGAGCATTGTATTTGTACAGTAAGTCGTTTCAGGTTACTGTTCTGTGTGGAAATGGTCCCATCATCGTACTCTGGTGTCTAAGAATGGTATATATACTGTATGCAGTTATGCGAAATATTTGTTACCCCTCACTTCAGCCTCCTACCCTAGCTTTTATTGCTAACTATTTTTTACAAAATGTAAGAACAAATATGATCCCAGAGGAATAAATGATTTGCACCAAACCGACTTCATTATTTTGTTTTATAATATACGGTAACACATTTTTAATGCCATATGTATTATATAAAATATTAATATTTATTTTACTTCAAATGGGGTATCGATTTGTTCTGATTGTTTGTATTGTTTAGCAATGCTTCATGAGTTCTGAAATTTGGCCCTGAATCGTTTTGGTATTCGTAAAAAATACTAGGGTTTATTTTCTATATTAACACATTATATAAAACTATAAAATATTGTTTTAGATTTTAAAAACTTCTGTATTGCATATTTTCAGTGGTTCTTTTCTACACACCTGCTAAAAATGCTAAAATGTTTGTTTGATTCTTTCTTTAAAATTGAATTTAAATATCAAGTGAAAGATGCATCATTATGCAACAATAAGTGTTTTCCTACTCTATGTTTTGGCATATCTGGGTGTGTTGTTCATACAGAAAATGTGTAAACGGTTCCCAATATACATTAGCCTCAGAAATGAATTTCCGAATGGTGACGTTTTTCCTCAGAATTTAGCATTTATTCAACATTTATAGTTTTTTTCCCCCCAACATAAAATACTGTCATTCAAGTATGCCAAATACTGAATTTGAATCTATTAAGGCTTACATATTTCATTTATAAAAAGTAGGCATTGTTTCGAGAGTAGTATGCATACTGCTAAAATACTAATAGTATGTTCGCTTAAAAAAAAGTAGTAGTAGTAAAAACTGCACGTTAATCTAGCATCCATTATGTCCTTATATTAAGTTTTTTTATACTTATATTAGGTTTTACAAAACAATGTATAAAACAATAAACAGGAGCTGCGCCATCTGGTGGAGAGCATCGCCACAGCGCTCTCTCCTCCAGTATCCCACAATTCTAATGTTTACGGCTCGTCGGTGAAAGATGGCGGACAGCAGTGGCAGTAATCCTCAATCACCCGGTTTCACGGAGAAATTAAAATCGTGGCTCTGCTGGTCTTGGACGTATATATGTGCGCTTTGGTTCGCCATGGTCTTGACGATGGTTTACGTGCTGAGGAGCCCTCTGAAGCTGCAGGAGACCGTCAACGCAGGTGTGTGTGTGTTTATGATCAGCTGTGTGCATGTTTACAGCTCAACCCAGGGTATATTTCTGTACATTGAAGGAGAAGTTCAAACAAAAATGAACATTCTACCAGTATTTTTCTCATCCCCACGCAATACGGCTTTCTTTTTCTGTGCAATACAAAAGCAGAGATTTTGAAGTCAGTGCAGGTCGGTGTTTTCCATGCAATGCCAATGAATGGTGACTGAAGATGTCAAGCGTCCAAAGGACTAAGCATGACCATTAAGTATTATAACCAATGACTCGTGCATAGTTATAAATTCTTGAAGTCATATTGTAGCATTGCGAGAGAAACAGACCTGCATTTAAGTCCGTGTTGTGGTAGGAACTTTAGTTAAAAGCTGCTGTCAAATGCAAGTTTTGTAACGTTAATGTCAGTCTGACTAAAAGTTTTACTCTATCATCTCAGTTTCAAATGGTATCAGCTGAAGGGTTAAATAAAAGACCATTATAATCTTCACATTTTGTTATGGGTATTAATATCTATATGTATTTTTGCACTGTACAGTGTGCATGAGACGAGTGATAACAATATTCAGAGGAGGAATTTGTCAACCGCGCCATGAAAAAAAATTAAAAACCACATTTTTCACTACTCCCAGATTTTCCCGTTGTGATTACACTGTGTCTGTGAAATAGACACAGTAAGAAATCGAGAAATAAAGTCTTAAATGAACGTAAAGAGTTGTCAGAGGCGGCAGATCTTAAAGTGACAGCAGCCACTAATGCTGTCTGTTATTAAAGTATCACTATGTAGTTTTTCAACCTTCATAATATATTTCCAAGACCCTTGTGATGGTACATCGACTTACAATAGGTTAAATGACACGTCTGCCATAGCCTGATGTGGTCGGTATCACTTTTACTTGCAAACTTCTGGTTTCAGGTAGTGACCGGAACACAAAAAGAACTACAAAACTTGACTGCTTTACCGCATACATCACTTCCTTCCCCCACCACTTCCTCAAACTGTCTGTGGCCGCATTGTTGATTCCAAAGCCGGTGTGGTGAAGAGATGGGTCCCAGCTTAGGATCCAAGCAATCCGATTGGTTCAAAGCTAGTTTTATGGGTAATCGCTTTAGTGCTTGGTTACAAATCAGAGAAAATCACTTTTATTATAGAAGACGTTTGAACTCCGTTATAATGAGTCATTAATTTCTTTTAACTTATATGTTTAAAGTTCTCAAATGAAAACTAAATTTCGTGACACAATAAAAGTAGTATTTTTAAATTCCGCAGCCTTTTCTCCTCTGCTATTGACGCAACTAACTATGAAAAGCACTATACAAATAAATGTATTACTTTTATCTTTACTTAAACTGGTTTTATCTTTTATGGTTTATCTGATCTTGCACATAGCAGTGGGATTTAGCATTCAAGCTACACTCAAAACAGCTCTCATTAGCTACAAGATATCCCAAGAATAGATTTAGATCAGGCATACTACTGGGGTCCTAAGCTGGGACCCATCTCTTCAGTGGGACTCATCTCTTCACCACACCGGTGCTGGATAAACAGCGAGCGTGCAACACTAGGCTACGGTAGGCTATTTGCGACAGCGATAATGGACATTTCCGCTTCCAACCTGTAGGGCGACCGCAGAGGAAAAGTTCCTTGGTGTTGCTTTAACGTTAATCAAAGAACAAAGGTAATAGAGAAAATAACTCACTGCTCTTGACTAAAGAACTTTTGTAGCTTTAATAAGGATTAAATTATATTTAATTTATAATTTACGCAGTGCCGACTTTGATAACTTTATTCAGTTTCTATATATTTTCACAGGGCACGGGTAAATATGACAATGTATTATGGGTTTATGTGAGGATTGTTTTAAGTTCACTTTAAAGTTGCTGTATTTTTTGAACCCTAAAAATGTAAAAAACAAAAACAAAAAACAAATTGATAGCTTTCACTTACAGTGTAATGTTTAAAATGGTAGGGGGGCTATTTTCATGGAGACATCAGTAGTATCTGTATTAGTATCAGTGATATTGGCCTTCATTAATAACATTTTTTAAAATATACCATCTTTGTTGTTGCTAGGTTAATTTGGAAATTAACTGTGAAATTATTACATTACAAAATATAATAAAAATGTAATGAAAACGACGTGTGCGATTAATCGTGATTAATCACAGAAAAAATATCTTATTAATCTATTAAATTTTTTAATCGATTTGAATGAATATATTAATATATTTAGTGGTTAATTAATATATAAATTCATGTATATAAGCATTATTAAGCGGTTAATTTTAATATTAATTTAACATTTTAATAATGTCATGTCATAATGATCATTTTAAAAGTTGTGTAGCCATGTTTTACAAGTTGTGTTGGTACATGTATAATAAAAATTGTTAAATTATAAAAAGAAAAAAAAAAGTTGTTATATAAAACGTATAATGTTTCATTATCTTGTGTAATTCATCCACAGCCTCTGTGTTTTTAAACACCCTTACACCTAAATTCTACGTTGCGCTCACGGGAACCTCCTCGCTCATCTCGGGCCTTATATTGGTGAGTCTTTTACCTATTGGTTGTAAACACAAACTTCAGTTTCAAAGCTTTGTGCAAACACACTCGCTCGTCTGTCCTTCAGATATTCGAGTGGTGGTACTTTAGGAAGTACGGCACTTCGTTCATCGAGCAGGTTTCTGTCAGTCACTTGCGCCCTCTACTGGGAGGAGTGGAGAACAGCAGCTCCGCGGGACTCTTCTCTTCAGTAAACGGCGACACAGAGCAGAGAAGCAACGTTGCAGGTTTTTATTTTTAGCTACTGGTTATCTTTCCAAACATTTCAAAGTAAATGTAGTAATGTTTGAGCTGTTGGGATGTTGTTTTTCTTTCAGAATGTAAAGTGTGGAGGAACCCATTGAACTTATTCAGAGGTGCAGAGTACAGCAGGTATATTTCTTAGTTAGTTGCCTTAATTTATGAGCTTTTAAGTAAATGACTGAATTCCAAACATTATATTCCTGATCCTTCCATTCCAGGTACACTTGGGTGACGGGTAAAGAGCCCCTGACATATTACGACATGAATTTATCAGCACAAGATCATCAGACCTTCTTCTTGGGAGACACTCAGCAGCTTAAACCAGAAGACTCTGGTTAGTCTCATGCTCTTCTTCTTGAAAAACAAATAGTGCCTAGATTTAATCAGAAGTGCCGTTTAATCATGGCTGTTATCTGTTGTTTGTTCTGCAGTAATGCAGAAGGCCTGGAGGGAGAGGAACCCGCAGGCACGCATTCGAGCAGCTTACCAGGCAATTGAAATGAACCGGGAGTGAGTTGAATTCAATTTAACATCTTCGGACGTGACTCATCCGGTCAGATTTTAGAGCTCTAATGGTATATACGTATTATGAAGAGCAATAAAAATACATGAACTAGGGATGCCCAATATGTTGGTACATCTTCAGTATTGGATATTTAACCAAATAAATAGGCTTTGATCACGGAGGATCTCTGACTAATAGAGAATCCCCCTGACAAAAAGTGTACTACATAGAAACAAAAGTGACTTGATCTATTGCATAATTTTTACTTCTTTCTCTTAACCTCTTAGAGGTTAAATATATATATTTAGTCTAGTTTTGTTGTATTCAGATATTCAGTGTTGGGAATATTTAGTTTTCAAAAGCATTTAAATGTTAATCCTGCAAGAAAAGGAAATGTTAAAAATCTCCTTCATATACATTTAAAAATAACTGAATTCTATGTGAATGTATTTTAAAATGTAATTTATTCCTGTGTTTATAGTCATGCATGTTTATAGACCATTTTGCATGATGTAAACAACACTGGTCCAGAAACACTTCCTGTTTCAGTTTGTAACTGTTTTCTTTATTTCACATGTAAAGAAAAAATCTTAAAGATGTTTGTTTAACTTTTTGATTCAGTTTTATATGTTCTGTTGGTTGTATTTTATCCCAGCTTTTATGTAGTGTTAAAAAACTGAAACAGGAAGTGCTTCTGGACCAGTTTTGTTTACATCTTGCAAAATGGTCTATAGTCATGCATTATGTCACATGATCCTTCTAATATGGTATAAAAAAAACATTCAGACACTAAAAAGCCAGTAATTACTTTGTTACACTTTTATACACAGGCATTTAAAATGAGTCTTTTTTTTTTTGCATCTCTAATGTGAACTTGAGGTTTCCTTTTTATAACTCTCCATCACATGATTGTGTTCATTGCAGATGTGCTGCAGCATATGTGCTTCTTGCCGAGGAGGAAGCCACAACCATCACAGAAGCTGAACGGCTATTCAAACAAGCCCTTAAAAGTGGTATGAGATTTTCACACTGTCACACATGCAGTATGTACTCCACATACTCACACTGCTGTTTTCTACCGTTGCGTCCACAGCCGGTAAAGACACCAATCTTGTGGTTTACATCAAGCGCAGACTGGCCATGTGTGCTAGAAAACTGGGTCGCATCAAAGAAGCTGTAAAGATGATGAGAGATGTGAGTCAAGCAATATAACACAAATAATGTTCAGGTCTGTATATTGTAATGATTATTCCAGTGCAAAGTCTTGCCCCATTAGATTATCTTAGTAAGTGCTTTACTGTAAATTTGATTCTTTTTGTTAGTTTTTTTGACCTGAGGCATGAGTCAAAAAAATAATAATAATCTGTAGTAATCAGCAACATATGCATATAACTTTAGTGCAGGTACATCAATTCAGATTTAGTGCAGGATGTCGTCACATCCATAGAATATCTTCAGGGCGAATTCACATTTCTAAAACTTTTTTTGAACATAACATTTCCTTTCCATTTCTGCTCTATTAAGAAATTTTACCTGTGAAAGAGGAACTTTAATTTACAACCAAGTATTTGAAAATTTTCATTCATTTAATTCTTTATGCCTAATGCCTGCTACAGACTGTGATTTCGGCAATCCTATAAGATCATTACAAATAACACCGTACAACATGGATATAATAAAATTGCTTACGACAAATGTGTAGACTCTGCTATGATGACACCTATTGAATCGTAAGCTACCTACGACGCAAATTAGTATAGAAATGAGCAATTGGGTTTTTATGTGCGCTGAAAAAAATGGATAGATAGATAGATAGATAGATAGATAGATAGATAGATAGATAGATAGAAATATGGATGGATGGATAGATGGATGGATGGGTAGATGGATAGATGAATAGATAGATGAGATGGATAGATAGATAGATCAATTCTCCATTTCAAGTTTTTTATTGGCTAGTCAGTAGGCGTAGGTCGTAGCAGCAAACACACTATGAGATGATCATGCTAAGTTTATGACGGCGTCAGAAAATTATTGCTGGCTATCTTCTTTGGTCTCAAGACCGTGACAAAGTTCGTCTTTGAACCTCTCTGTGTACGACGTAGGACCACTGTTTAGAAGCCACGACCACAGAAACGTCACAGAAGAGAAACCACAGAAATTGCTCATCTTTTGTCTTGGACTGCCCAAAATCATACAATGTGTATGACAATCATAATGTTATACTAATAAGCATCAGTGTAACTCTAGGAAATACTCTGTTATCATCAGAGAATAATTTATGCTTACAATTTTGAATGTATTAGAACTTAGCCTTTAAAGGGATAGTTCACTTTGAAATTAATTTTTGGTATGTTTTAGTTTACCTCAAGGGCATCCAAGATGTAGGTGTCTTTGTATCCCCAGTATTTTCAATTTTGATATTTTTATCAAACCATTCTTGTCTGTCAGTCATATAATGCAGGTAAATGGTCACCACCTTAAGGAGCATGCACAGAGAAGTCCAAATTAAACATGATTTAATGACTCGTAAATGTAAGTACACATTGATGGCCTAAGACACGAAACGAGCGGTTTGTGTGAGAAAAGGAACAGTATTTATATTTTTAACTTTTGTAACCACAGCCACAAAGCGCCTGTGCCTTCAGATCATTTGGACATGGTTGTGGTTACAAAAGGTAAAAACGATATAAATACTGTTAGTTTTCTCACACAAACCGCTCGTTTCGTGTCTTAGGCCATCAATGTGTACTTACATTTACAAGTCATTAAATCATGTTTAATTTGGACTTCTCTGTGCATGCTCTTTGAGGTGGTGACCATAGACCTCCATTATATGACTGACAGACAAGAACAGTTTGACCTAAAAATGTCAAAATCTTGCCCTTGAGGTAAGCTAAAACATACCAAAAATTAATTTAGTGAGCTATCCCTTTAATTGAAATATATGCATACTCATATCATCGGTAAGGTATGTTATATCTCATACTTCAATATTACTCTGTTTCTTGTTTCCTTGGACAGTTAATGAAAGAATTTCCTTTACTTGGAATGTTAAACATTCACGAGAACCTTCTAGAAGCGTTATTAGAGCTGCAGGCCTACGCAGATGTACAAGCAGTCCTCGCAAAATATGATGGTGAGCTCTTTCAACTGTCATGTTACTGTACTGTTCAAACTGGACCAGAAAATGACGCTACTATCGGATGTTTCCTCCTTCAGATATCAGCTTGCCAAAATCAGCTACTATATGCTACACATCTGCCTTACTGAAAGCCAGAGCGGTGTCAGATAAGTAAGTCTTCGGCATGCTGGAAAGTTTGAAACCGATGCAAACGATTGTCTGTTATGTCTATTAGTGCACAGCATATAACCATATCATAGCATAGGTAATGTTTGCGGATGATAGTTTGCTGAATGAATCTGTTTGTGTGTCGTATGGCAGGTTTTCACCTGAGGCAGCGTCTAGACGAGGTCTCAGCACAGCAGAGATGAACGCAGTGGAGGCCATACACAGAGCTGTGGAGTTCAACCCACATGTACCAAAGGTTCGAAATATATATGTGTCCCCCCTTTGGGGAATTTTAGATTTGCTTACCTCCAATTAAAAACAAAAAAACAACCTTATTATACTTTCTAATGCAAATATTGAAGTTACTGGGCCACACATCTGCTTTATCTCACTGATATTTGTGAGTGCAGGTATATAGTCATGGCCAGAAGGTGATGCTGTTGTAGTATTTACAGTGAAGCACATTGTAATCCTCTGCACTGAACTGAAACTTTTCTAACACGCATGGTTCACAGTTTTGCATTGAACCTAATAGCAGGTGAGGTTGTCGAGCCAAGGCTGCCAAACATAGATTTCCGTAAGCTGTGTTTAGGGTGAAAGTTATATCACTCTTTTGCCCTTTAAAGATGTTTTGACCCCCATCATCTATTTCTTTCTTTGTACCTGGCTTCAATTTGCCGCTTTCCAAAACACTAGATCCAACTTCAAAGTACACAACCTCTTCGCACCCAAACACAGCCTCAGACGAAGGGTATTGTGCACCACAGACATGCTGTATCAGACTACAAAGAGCACCTGTTTGAGATGTGCAGCATATATAAACACACACACATACACCTGGTATTTCAAATGCCAAATCAAGCCCTACGGCAAAAAGACGCTCCATAATGAGCTAGAAGTAGGGCACTATAGTAATATTTACACTAATATTTTCACATAAGCAATAAGATACAAGAGGCCGTGACAAATTGTCCTTTGCATCTTCATTATGTAGTACTGGTTATATAAAAGCAAAAAGGCACTTGATGACATGATGAATGTCATGAGCTTTTGTACTTGATTTTTTGTCAGTGTTTTTTTTTTTTTTGCGATGAGCCCCTTATAAAATATAAAAACAGCCATATAGCGAATTTTATATTGTGTGAGAAGTCTCTTATGCTGACCCAGGCTGGATTTATTTGATAAAATATTCTGAAATATTATTACAATTTCAAAAATTACTTTTCTGTTTTAATAATTTCATTATGCAATTTATTCCTGTGATGCAAAGCTGAATTTTCAGCATCAGAATTCTAATATGATGATTTGCTGCTCAAGAAACATTTCTCATTATTATCAATGTTGAAAATTCATTGATGAATACAAACGTCAAAAGAACAGTGGTTATTTGAAAATGTAATCTTTTTTAACATTATAAAAGTCTTATCTGTCACTTTTGATCAATTTAATGTGTCCTTGATGAATAAAAGTTTTAATTTCTTTCAAAATAAAATTTAGCCCCTCAAACTTTTGAACAGTAGTTTATGTTTCTCACTATTATAGTGGGCAAAATTGGTACTATTAGTATAATTAATACAAAAATTAGGCAGTATAACTTGTTAAATGCATTAAATTATTGTTGAACACATTCATTTTCTATCTTAAAGGAGTAGTTCACTTTTGAAAAAACTTTTGCTGATAATTTACTCACCCCCATGTCATCCAAGTTGTCCACGTCATTCTTTCTTCAGTCGAAAATAAATGAAGGTTTTTGATGAAAACATTCCAGGATTTTTCTTCATATAATGGACTTCAATGGGAACCAAACGGTTCAAGGTCCAAAAGACAGTTTCAGTGCAAACTGTTCAAAGGGCTTTAAACGATTCCAGATGATGAATAAGGGTCTTTTCAATCGAAACGATCGATCGCTCATTTAAAAAAAAAATAACAAAGTTGAAGTTTTATAAGCTCAAAGGGTCGCCATGCTCTGTTCTGTGATGCGCGTTTGTGACTCTCCTGTTTCAAAATCAACGAATCTTTTTCCGAGTCAGTTCGTTTGTTGAATGAACCAAAATGACTAAAAAAAAGATTTGTTCATTTTGATGAACGAGTTCGAACAGGAGAGTCACAAACGAGTGTCACAGAACAGAGCAAGGCGAATATTTGAATATGACCAAAAAAATCTTGCCGACTGCAGCTTTAACACGTTAACCGACAACCCAGAATGGGGCAAAACATAATGCATGATGTCATCCGCCACTGGACACCTGCACCTCCCCTTTGCATAGCATCTCCAAGACCACTGTAGTGTGATGTCATCACCCAGGGTCCGTACGGTCAAGTGAAAAGAGATACGAGACAGACCGAGACAGAGGCTTATGGGAGTTCAGCAGGGGCTTAAGAGGAACATCCACATAAAAGAGACCCATCACTGACACTTGATCCGCCATAAAAGACCTTGTTTGTGTGCGGGCATGTTGCGTAGGACAGCTGCCTGTCAAATGTCAGCATGATCATAAAGCTAAATTACCCATGTCTACGAAGCACATGTTTGTGTACATTCACTGCGGTGATTTTACGGAAAGATATACTGGGATATTTGTTTAAAATGCAGAAGGTGTGCTTGACACATTGTAGAGCCGGATCGAGTTGTAATGTACAATAATCACAGCCAGGGGCATTTGGGAAGGTTATCCTCTGGATAATACCATTTAATCCTGCTGTATTGCCCTCTACAACGCTCACCCTGGGGCCCGGAGCCGGGGACTGACTGCTCTCTCACACACATACAGGCTGTGTATAAAGATCCACCAGCATGTTATTTCTGTCAAAACTCTTTATCACTAAAGCCTGTTTTATTAGATTGTGCTGGTCTCGCCTTGAAAATAGCCACAGAAGCGGGCATGGTTTTAAAAACAGATTATATACAATAAATATTATGCAATAAATATGACCTTTTTTGTTGTTGTGTATGTTCATTTCACTAATGGAGAGTGGCTTTTTGCTTTATTATGGTAATCAGAATTGGGGTAAACATGTTTATTGTCCTTGCCTGTCAAAATATATAAAAGTGTTTTGTGTGTCGTTGCAGTATTTATTAGAGATGAAGAGTCTGATTTTGCCACCTGAGCATATTTTGAAGAGGGGAGACAGTGAGGCGGTGGCGTACGCCTTCTTTCACCTGCAGCACTGGAAGCGGGCAGAGGGGGCGCTCAACCTGCTACACTGTACCTGGGAAGGCAGTGCGTACAGTGCACATCTTTTCTTTTTTACACACCATCACATTCTTGTATAATAGATTATTACCATTGTTATTTACCATGAAGCTGTTTACTCTAAAACAAAATTTAAACGATCGCACCTGGGGCTGGTTTCACAAAGATAGACTTTGACTATGGCTTAGATATTGTAGATAGTCAGACTTCAGATAGATATCTAAATCAGACCGTTGCACAAAGCACTTAAGTCTCTGACTATCTTAAGTAGGACTACACTGCAGTGCATTCTGGTAAAATAAGACACTTTTCAAAACAAAAAACATTCCGGATCGAGTTAGCGCATTCAACCGCTCAGTGCAGTTTACCCCCGCGGAAAATATGTTATTTAGTTACAAGGACATTTTACTTGTGAAATTTAGCGGAGAATGTAGTAACAAGAAGAAATGTTTAATTTGGAAAAAGATTATCGCTTATGTTTTCTTTGGCCTGTTTGTAATGTGACCAATTGTTACTGCTGGTTGCCAAGGTTACAGAGAGTCTTAGACCTAAGTTAACCTGGGGAGAAGGTGTCTAATTTTTTTTGGTCTAAATTAAAGGTGCAGTGTGTGATTTTTAGTGACATCTAGCGGTTCGGTTGCGAGTTTGCACTAAGGGTTCAGCCCACTGGACAAACGGGACAAACATATCGTCGTCTGAGACAGCAGAGAATAGCCAGAGTAAGCCAAGAATGTCTAACAATGTCACTGTTTCTGTACTACAGTCCATTATAAATCACATCATGGTTAAAGTTTACAAAGCCATAGTCAGGTGAGGATCAAGGGTCTTAATATATAATATAATAATAGTAATCAGCTGATTGTCTCACAAACGTAACCAGCACATTTCTCCCCACATAGCAAACTCATAATACAGCGAGGGAGAAGAACCACATAAAACTATGCAACTATATATTTGTTCTAACAGAGTAGTAAAAGTTTAGCTGGCTAAATATGAGCTGTTGCTGTGGCTGAGCTGGTTAAAGCGTAACGCCTTGTTTAAACTCGACGCCTCCACATGAGCCCAAAGGTGCGCGCGGCAAAAATTACGTGATTGTAACAGGCCGTGCGCCTCCGCATCCCATCATAGGCTTTTTTTCTCTGATTTTGAAAACTCTCCGCGATCGACTTAAAATGCTTCCAAGATCGACTTGTCGACCGCGATCGACGGGTTGGTGATTCCTGTAACGTTACTGTTTTACGGTCAATGACAAGAGTACTAATCAGCTGTCTCACGAATGTAACCATAACACAGCGAGGGAGAAGAACTAAGGTACATGAAACTATCCAACTACATATTTTACACCACTGACAAGGGAAAAGTCACTACTCACGGTGTTTCTGGCTAGCTTCTAGGTTTCTGCGGCTTCTCTTTCAAGGTAGTGACGAAACGCGCCCTTTGTTTGCTGTCGACTGCCGTAGAAACATGACGTCACAATATGGCGACCTTCATAGAAGGGGGTGCCCGCGGTTATGTAGATATAAATGTCTCATTCTAAGGTAATAAAAACATAACAGTTTATTAAGCAAGTTCTTTATACACTACTGAAAACGTAGTTATGGATGTCATATTGCGTTTCTGTAAATAGATACTCTGAATTTTTACACATTGCACCTTTAAGTCGGTCATTATTTTTGTGAAACAGTCTAACTTGCTCAAATTAGTTTATGAGCAAATTTTACAATTGTCTAACACTATAGACGGGTCTAAGATAGCTTTGTGAAACCGGCCCCTGATCTTTTTAGAAAATCCTTATTTTTTATTGTTTTATTTCATTTTTATTTTTTTATATAATTTTAATGTTTCTGTTTTACTCTGATTTGTGTTGTAGCACTTTGAGGTCATTAAATTGATGTAAAGTGCGTTATAAATAAAATGTATTATTATTATTAAAATCTTTTGTCTCTTGTAGCTTTCCGGATTATTCCATACCCTCTGGAGAAGGGTCATCTCTTCTATCCTTACCCAGGATGCACAGAGACCGCAGATAGAGAGCTTCTGCCTTGTAAGTCTACACTCTGTTTACACCTGTATTTATATAGAAATAGTAACTGTTAGCACAACCATAGTGTGTTAAATGTCAGGAGGTGTGGAAATTATTAACAATAATGGGAAAATAGAGTATTTGTAGACATGTTTTAAGGATATGTATTTTTATTTATCTTCCAGCATTTCACGAGGTCTCAGTGTACCCAAAGAAGGAGCTTCCTTTCTTCATCCTCTTCACAGCGGGCCTTTGCTCCTTCTGTGCCATGTTGGCCATGCTCACACACCAGTTTCCAGAGCTCATGGGGGTCTTCGTCAAAGCTGTGAGTATCTGCACGCCTCAACAAACCCTAAAGTGTTTTGTTTTCGCCTTTACTCTCATCCCTCTTTGCCTCTTTATTATTTTGATTTATTTTTTGTGTTTAGAAGAGAAAGACACAATCACTGAACTTCCAAGATAAACATTTCAATGTGTTGCAATAAAAAAATGAAGTATCTGTCAATGGCACTCTAGACGGGATAAACCACAGCTCCTTACGAGACCAATAACTGTCTGTGATGTTCTATTAGTGGCAAAAACATTGTCATCGTGTTTCGGGTTGAGCACGCAAGAGCCCATTTCGCGTGGCAGTGGGCACATTTGCGCGTGGTTCAGCTTTCGAAGATACACGACATTGAGGTGACTGTGTTCGAGCAGGTGCATCTGTATATACTGTACGTATATATTAGGGCTGTGCAAAAATTAATTGCGATTAATCGCATCCAAAATAAAAGTCTGTGTTTACTTAATATATTTGTGTGTGCTGTATATAATTATTTTGTCCATATAAATACAAACGCATGCATGTATATTTTTAAGAATTATTTGCTCTTAAATTCTGTATACATATATAAATACATAATCTATATTATATAAATATAAATATTTTATATATGAATAACACATTTTCTTAAATATATACATGCATGTGTTTGTATTTATATATACAAAATAATTATATACAGCACACACAAATATATTATGTAAACACAGACTTTTATTTTGGATGCGATTAATCGCAATTAATTTTTGCACAGCCCTAGTATATATATATATAATATATATATTAGTGCTGTCAAACGATTAAAATAATTAATCGCGATTAATCACATTAATGTTATAGCTAACTCGTGAATAATCGCAATTAATCGCACATTTTTATCTATTCTAAAAGTCTCTAGATTTCTGTATATCCACAATACTTCAATCAATGGCTTATGTGCAGTCCTCGGCTTCAAGAAAGTCAATGAAACAGGGTGGGAAATGGGTAGAAGACGAGCATGCATTTAAATTGTTTGTACGCCAACCTTGAGTCATTCCAATGGCCAGGATGCGCATTTCGTGGCGGTGCATTCTTCTCTTATCATTGTTTACATTCATCAGTGTTAATTAATAGCGAGTGATTGATTTCAGAACACACTTGAGTTGTTGCGTAGACGCCACGGAAGGCCTCATCTCCGAGATGCATCTAGTTTCCGTTATACTCCCTTATTTGCCCGCGCCCGCACATGCATGCTTTGTTCCCCGTCCACTCCAAACATCTGGTTCTCCTTGGGGAACATTGCCCTAATTTTTAATTGCAATAAATTCCTAAATGTGACGACATGCAGCCTCAATAACCTTTATCTTTTTATCAACCTCGTTTGTCATCTTACAACACATATTTACGTTAGCACTATCTATTTCCTGGATCTGCGTTAAAATAGATGATACCCCTCCAGCCTCCACTCTGCCCAGTTTTCCTCCCTATCCGACGCGCGGCCCCAGGCTTCCTTTCCCATATTCCGTCATAAACATCTGTTCATCCGTGAAATGTATCGCTTCATAAACACATTAGGGGCTTGTTTATGGTGGATAGAACTGTGGAGGTTTCAGTGTTTTTCAAAGGAAAAACTTTACAGTCTTAAAGTTGGTTGCCATCCAGAGATTTTTTTTTTCTTCTTCTTTCTCTCCTGTTGTTTGTGTCTGTCTGGACCTCCATGTAGTATCCCAGAGGGATAAACTCTGTCATACTTACATCTAGCACTTCAGGCACTTTAAAGGCAACTTTCTGACAGCTTGTGGCTCAAACACTCAGATAGTCCGTGAATAAGGCCGACAACACAAGGAACGTGTGCAAAAGCACTACTACTATTTAGTTTCATGTTGTACAGGTGTTTCTTATGGACCGCTTGTGTCATGTCAACATCATTTCATATCGGCAATGATCACATTTCAGTTTAGGGCTGAAATTCATGTTTTGTTTTGTTTTTTTCTTATTTTTTTTTTTTTTTTTTTTGTGAACATTTTTTGTTGTGTTTATTCAGTTATTGAGAGTAAAGCGTGCAGCACATTTAAAAAGTCGCTCTCGGCAGCATGGACAGCGTCAGTATGTTCATTAATATTATATCGCTGCAATCGTATTTCCAACTTCGTTTTACTTCTAAGCAAAGAATGTAAAAGAACTTCACCGTGGTCCATGAGTTTATCTCGGGCCTTGAATCATGTTCAGTGTCCTGTGCGTTACGTGTACACCAACTCGAGCAATAAGTTGCTGGCCACAGATCACTTAATGTCCACCGGTGTCGCTAATAAGAAAAGTAAATCTGAACATATGCAGTTATAGGTTTAAATATATAAATGTAAATCTGAATATATACAGTGAAGGATTGACATTGCAAAGCAAGGGTGATGAGCTGTGTACTAATACAATTGTATGTCTAGTTAAATTCTTCATTCACAAGTGTAGAATTGTGAAATCATCTCCCAAATTTGTTGTTTTTTTTTAAATGAATTTAAACTGTATATAAAATCCTTAAAAACTTTAATAGATTCTAAAGCACAAAAAATATATAAAACCCTAAAACACTTCCCAGCTGAGATAAATGGATGAACTAAGACATAATCGGACATAATAGGAATTATAGGAAAGAACATAATAGGATTATGTTTTATTATAATTCCTTACTGTTTATTTAATAAATGTTTATTTTCATTACAAAGTATCCTTATTTTTGTACTAAGACTACATTTATATTCCTGTTGTGATTCTCTGGCTGTATTTTCTTTGTATCTTATTCCGAAGAAAAGGAAGTTATGCAGCCACGTTTGTCTGTAAATTTGGATATTTCAATAAAAATAAAATAATAATAATATATACAGTAAATGATACTATATATATTTACATATGAATATAGTTATAGGTCTAAAAATATAGATGTAAATTTAAATAATGAATATGTAAATGAAGAAAAAGAAAAACATATAATGAATAGGGCTGTCAATCGATTAATCGCGATTAATCGCATCCAAAATAAAAGTTTGTGTTTACATAATATATGTGGGTGCACTGTGTATAATTATTTTGTGTGTATATAAATACACACACATGCGTGTATATTTAAGAAAAAAATATTATTTATATATACAATATTTATATTTAATATAAATTATATATAAATCTATATACAGTATATACATGAAAATATTTCTTAAATATATACATGCATGTGTGTGTATTACAGTGCACCCACATATATTATGTAAACACAAACTTTTATTTTGGATGCGATTAATTGCAAATAATCGTATAAACAGCTATAATAATGAATGTTTTTACACTTTCCACTCAAATATCTGGCACTTTATTGGCATTCATTACATTTGCTTTAGAAATGTTAAAAAAAAAATTCTAAAAAAAAAAATGAAAAAAAAAATGCCACGTCACATGTCTTGACTGTTTTCTCTCCTCTCGTTCTCTCTCTGCAGTTCTTCAGCACCCTCTTTGCACCACTGGGCTTTTTTGCAGACAAGATGGAGAGTTTTATGCCCTCCTGCCTGTGGCATCAACTTGCAAATGTCTGACGAACACCAATTCATACATACTTGCACTCAAAAACACTACTGTACATGTAATATGTGTAAGGTCCCCACCTGTACTGACAATAAAAATGTTTTGGCTCTTTGACACACTTCTCTTTTGCTACAGTATTTGTTGTCATCTGACATTATTGTGTATAACAGCAGAAGTCTACATAAACATTTTGACTAAACGCCCATCTCTCAACCTCTATGCCTTTATGCTTTCTTATAGAATGAAGGCTTGAGATTGTAATTAAGACATTAGAAAAGAATGTCAGGCATTGCGGTTATGGTCATAAATGTCACTCAGTTTGTGATGTGCTGTTCTGCTAATGAGGCAGATCTGGGTAATGGTTGATGAATCTGTCTGACAAAATATGGTTACACACTGTATCTTTACATAAATGTCAGGCAGAAAGGACTTAAGATGTACCAACAAAATATTAAATGTTTTATAAACATGGGTGGAAGTCAATAGACAAGAATAACATTCAGATTGTACAAAAAACATAAGACTGACATTCTAACATTCAAGAGGGCTTTGCAGAGATATGCAAAATCACATTTAATTCTAACAATATTTTATGCAAAAATAATAATATGCATTCCAAAATACTGTGTTTACTAACGTTTTCTTTCTGTTGTGGTTGTTTTTTTAAAATAATAATTATTATTATTATTTTATAAACATTATCATATGGCTACCTATATTCTTAAAAATATCTTCTTTTGTGTTCAGCAGAATAAAGAAATTCATACAGGTGTGAAACAGCTTGAGGGTGGGCAAATTATGATGGCAGAATTTTCATTTTTTGGGTGAACTATCCCTTTAATAAAAATAGATTTATTGGCGGGCTTTAATTACGTTCCGTTCCAAGCAGAGTGACGATAATGTATGGCGCACGCGGGAGGTAGGTCAGTAAAACATCCCCATGAAATAAATACCATTGTCTAATTTATTTGTACCAGCAATTGCTAAATTTGTCTCACATACACCATAGACTGTTAAAAAAAACAGTCGACGTACACCTTATTTTTAACGTAAGAGCAGGCGCGGGCGTTTTTAACTTGAACAAACTTGATTGTGCAAGGCTTCCGGTTTGAGCCGAGTCCTGTGATTTTAGCTGTCTACAAAAACAGTTCGTTATGCTGCTGATGTAGCAAACTGGTACTTGTTATAATATTATTTTAATTATCTTTAATAATAAACACACTGGTTTGTAGAGAAAATAGTTGCTTTTAAATAAATAAAATAAATACTTTTATTTCACCTTTGAATTCTCCTGTGCTATTAACTTAGCAGGTAATGAATAGCAAGTTTTCTAGCACATTTACAGGGAATAGTTTTGCGAATTAAAGGGATAGTTCACTTTAAGATTAATTTATGATATGTTTTAGCTTACCTCGAGGGCATGCAAGATGTTGGTGTCTTTGTTTCCAGAGTATTTTCAGGTGGGCCCCATAAATCTCCATTATATGACTGACAGACAACAACGGTTTGACCAAAAAATATCAAAATTGAAAATACTGTGGAAACAATACCTACATCTTGGATGCCCTTGAGGTAAGCTAAAACATATCAAAAATTAATTTCAAAGTGAACTATCCCTACTGGTAGTGCTAGTAGTTGGCGATAAAAGATTGAACAATTTTAAATGTGCAAAATTTACAAAAACAAGAAGAGAATAGAATAGGTGGCTTAAATGGCAGCAGCAAATAGGGTTGTATAAGTGAGTCTGGATTTTGTCTCTATTTGGTCAGGTGTAAGTGGTGAACTCTTACTGTTTGACTGTGACAGTTTCTCAGTGTCGTTATTCAGGTGTATATGATCCAGACCTCTGCTGAAGTAACTTAGAAGCTAACAGTTTTGCCATGTTATATTTGAGCCTTAATCTCCATAGATTGAAGCCAAGGGCAAGGTTCCTCTGATGTGCAAGGATTATTTATGGGTGCTTGACTAACTTACTTCCATGTTTTCATACGGCACTTTGAGTTTTCTAAATAGTGTCTTTGCAGATTGTTTTTCCCCCTTCTGTATATGTAGCTACTGTAAATAGTCAACATCACTAAGTGGGTTTCTCCAACCTGTAAATAAACTCACTTCTCCATAGGTTCCTGTCCCGCTCTGAGCGCTTCCAGCTCATCTGATGTGGGGACGAAGTCTTCTAAACTGGGATTTATAGTTTTGGTAATTGATATTTTTTTTAATTTGGAATGGAAGATTTACATAATGCTTGTACAGTAAACACTGACTTAATATGACATGAACATATGAAACAATAATTATAATGCAGTTATGCATTACCGTTGTGATATACTTTTTCATAATTTTTTTTGTCATTTACCAAGTTTCTTAAAGTCATAGCCTATGTATAGTATTAAACCTAAGATGGCTGCTAAAGTTACAAAGCATTGTTCAAAATTCTTTCCCAGGTTTCGCTCCAGTGTCTTCAAAGCACAGCTATGCCTCTCAACATATTTGGCATGGACATGGATGTTCACAGCTACATATGAGACAAAAGCATGGTGTCTGATCATCAAACGTCCCGCTACCACCTGTTTTCTTTGGCAGTCGCCCATTCAACGGTCAGACGGGGTTGTGCAGGGTCAGAATAAAGCTTCATAAGGTACTGAATGTAGAATAGAAAAGAGCCGCAAAGACTGGCAGTGTGACGCATGGCTACTGTAGATCTCATCCCACACAGGAGAATGCTTATTCAGTCATATATATTTGCAAACAAATGCTGCTTAAAGAGGGTAATAACTCAGGAAAAAAATCCTGGCGTATAGCTGTGAAGGATGAGAATATGTTTCGCTTGAGACCATCACAGGCACGTTTATTGTGCTGCCACTTTACTTTAGTTTGTTTATTTTTGGATTCAAATTTATGTTAAAAGTTTTTGCTGGTTCCTGGCTCTTCCTTCCCTGAACACAAACCTTGCAACAGGTTTTTTTTTTTTTTTTTTTGTATGATTCAAACTATTTAAATTACCCAAAGTGTAAAATAGTACAATTTTCTCATAAGATCAGGGTAGCCTTATCTATGGACTAGAATATCATATCTGTGGACCAGTAAGCAATCACCTAGCAACTGCATAGCAACACCCTGACAACCACCCACAGCAACCTACTATATGCACAAGGTGTTCTTGTTGCTATGTGGGCGTAGTAGGTGTGGTCAGGATGGGTGATAGGCCGTTGTAATGTGGTTGCTAAGGTGTTTTGGATAGTTGCTAGACTGTTGCTATCTCGTTTTTTAAGTGTTATAGGTGGTTGCTAGAGTACTGCTATTTGGTTCCTGCAATTGCATACCAACATATCAACCTATACACTCACAGAGATTCTGATAGGTTGTTCTGGGTGGATGCTAGAACATTACTATGAAGTTCTGGGTGAATGTCAGAGCATTACTATATGGTTGCATTGTTCTACTGTTTCTAAGGTGTTCTGGGTGGTTGCTAGTATTGCTAGGATTTTTTGGGTTGTTTCTAAGGTGATGCTCCCACATCTCTTCATGGATCTCACCATAGATATGTACACGTAGATGCCACATACAAGCCAGCTATTTTGGAACTAACTTTAAACAATGTCCAATTGGCACTAAGGGGGTGCCAAGAAAACACCCCCCACACCATTACACCACCACCACCAGCCTGCACAGTGGTAACAAGGCATGATGGATCCATGTTCTCATTCTGTTCACGCCAAATTCTGACTCTACCATCTGAATGTCTCAACAGAAATCGAGACTCATCAGACCAGGCAACATTTTTCCAGTCTTCAACTGTCCAGTTTTGGTGAGCTCTTGCAAATTGTAGCCTCTCTTTCCTATTTGTAGTGGAGATGAGTGGTACCCGGTGGGGTCTTCTGCTGTTGTAGCCCATCCGCCTCAAGGTTGTGTGTGTTGTGGCTTCACAAATGCTTTGCTGCATACCTCGGTTGTAACGAGTGGTTATTTCACTCAAAGCTGCTCTTCTATCAGCTTGAATCAGTCGGCCCATTCTCCTCTGACCTCTAGCATCGACAAGGCATTTTCGCCCACAGGACTGCCGCATACTGGATGTTTTTCCCTTTTCACACCATTCTTTGTAAACCCTAGAAATGGTTGTGCGTGAAAATCCCAGTAACTGAGCAGATTGCCATCAACCATGCCACGCTCGAAACTGCTTAAATCATCTTTCTTTCCCATTCTGACATTCAGTTTGGAGTTCAGGAGATTGTCTTGACCAGGACCACACCCCTAAATGCATTGAAGAAACTGCCATGTGATTGGTTGATTAGATAATTGCATTAATGGTAAATTGAACAGGTGTTCCTAATTATCCTTTAGGTGAGTGTGTATATATATATTATACTGTATATATGGTTTGCACTCCCCCTTACATCTTTAAACAAAAATGAACTCACAAGAGTGCTGCTGTGCCTCGGTTTTGCATTTGAAAGTTTTAGAAGAGCTACATTCTTGCCAGCTGACTCACAAGATAAGAGTTTTTATGTGTTAATCCCACACCGGCGGCCTGGTAAGCTCCGTCTGACAGCAAGCGTGCTAACGCTCACACCCACTCGCTTCTGGGAGCCAAGCCACAGTCGTCCCCAAAGGTCACGTATATATAACGCTTATCTCCCCTATAAATCTGCCCTCAAGACCAAACACTTGCTCTGGATCTGTGGACTAAAGCTTACAGTGGGAAGTTCACAGTACCCAATGCAGCAGTATGAGCAAGGGTATTTGTAGGGATGCTTTTAAGCCGTGGTTTAAAGTCCAATTTCATTAATTCATGTATATTTTATAGATTTTTCTAATATTTGTATTTTGCTTGTGAAAACCCATCACTTTTATGCTAAGAGCTTATGAATGGTAGCCAGGGCGTTGCTATATTTGCTAAGATGTTCCAAGTCATTTTAAGTGTGTTGCTAGGTTTCTACAGTATACAGTTTCTAGGGTGTTTTGGGTGGTTGCCAGGGCATTTCTATGGAGTTCCGAAGGTGTTTTGAAGGGGTTTCACTGTGTTGCTATGTGCTTGCTGTCACCAAAAGAATCCCCTGAATGCCACATTCAGTATTGTTTGCCATGTCATGTAAAAATTGTTATAAATATTGCTTACAAAAG